GTGGCCCTTGCTCCGGGTGCCTCAGTGAGCTCCAACCTCTCTGCCAGGACCTGTTCTGCCCTGGGAACTCATCCCGAGGGATGTGGGCACCTCAGTGAGCTCCAACCTCTCTTCCAGGACCTGTCCTGCCATGGGAACTCATCCCAAGGGATGTGGGCACCTCAGTGAGCTCCAACCTCTCTGCCAGGACCTGTCCTGCCTCGGGAACTCATCCCGAGGGATGTGGGCACCTCAGTGAGCTCCCCAGGTCCTGTCCTGCCCTGGGAACTCATCCCAAGGGATGTAGGCACCTCAGTGAGCTCCAGCACTGCTGCCAGGACCTGTCCTGCCCTGGGAACTCATCCCGAGGGACACAGGGCTGGAGGGTGGGAGCTGCCGTGTCCTCCAGCACAGGCAGGTGAATTAACACACACACACAGAGCTGTTAATCCCTGACAACTCCAACACCTCCGTGGTTTGGGATCCAGCAGGAGCCACCAGCTGGAATTTCACCCGGGTTAACCCCGGCAGTGGCACTTGGAGCACAACCCCTACAGGAACACATCCAGTGTCCTCAAAACCCTCAGCTTCAAAGAGCAGAAGGACCAGACCAAAGCCTGGGCATCCACAAAGGCCCTGAGGACCCCGTGGAGACGGAATAACAGGGAGTGGGAGTGGGCAGGGAAGAGTGAAATGCCAACCCCTCCCAGTCCCTTGGCTCTGCTCCTGTCCCCGTGGCTCCTGGAAATGGCAGAGGAGTGTTCTGCATTTCAAGCAGAGCAAAGCTCTGATCCCTCCTGGCCCGAGCTGGAGCCGCAAAGGCCACGGGGTGGGATTTGAAGAGGAGCAGGAGAGGAGAAGCCCAGGAGGGTGTTAATGAACCCCATTAACTGCAGCCAGAGCTGCCCCTGCCTGTTCCCTGCTCAGCACATTCCCTGTCCAACCTGCCCTTGGACACTCCCAGGGATCCAGGGGCAGCCACAGCTTCTCTGGGAAACTGTGCCAGGGCCTCCCCACCCTCCCAGGGAGGAATTTCTTCCCAATATCCCACCTAATCCTGCCCTCTGGCAGTTGGAAGCCATTCCCCCTTGTCCTGGCACTCCTTTGGAAATAGTCTCTCTCCCCCTTTCCTGCAGGATCCCTTCAGGTCCTGGGAGGCCACAATGAGGTGACCCCAAAGCCTTCCCTTCTCCAGGCCGAACAATCCCAGTTCTCCAGCCTCTCCTCACAGCAGAGCTGCTCCATCCCTCTGATCCTCTTGGAGCATCTCTGGACTCTCTCCAGCAGCTCCACGTCCTCCCCGTGCTGGGACCCCTGAGCTGGAGTCAGCCCTCGTCAGCTGATCATCACTAATTGTTTAATTAATGTGCCGTGGGTTAATGCCGGCTGGGTTTGTGTCCCTCCTCTCTCTGAGCTCCAGGGAATGGGAACTTAATGTTAATACTTGCAGAAAGTGGCCTTTCCCTTTCCCGTGGAGCTCCCTGTGGGACCCCAGGGGAGATGGGAATGGGCATTTGTGCCTCCCTAAGCTTGATCCCGGAATGCTGAGAGATGTCCCTGCCATGTCTGGATGTTGGAGCCCTTCACCCCTCAGGGACAGACCCTGAGCCCCCAGGAAGAACACCCCCAATCCCATCCTTCACAGACCCTGTTCCCATTCCCAAATCCCTCTGGATCCTGTGCCCGCAAACTCAAACCCCTGTTCCCAACCCAAAACCCCCAGGACCAACACCCCCAATCCCACCCCTCTCAGACCCTGTTCCCATCCCAAATCCTCCAGGACCAACACCCCCAATCCCCCCCCAAATCCCCAATTCCCCCTCAACGCCCCCCGCCCCAAATCCCTTCGCCCTCGGTCCTCCCCGCGGTCCTCCCGCCGCCAGGGGGCGCCTCCGGCGGAGGGCGGGGCTTGGGGGGCGGCCCCTCCCCGCGTGCCCGCGCGCGGCGCGCGGGGCCGTTTCCGGCTCCGCTCCCTTTGTGCGGGACAAGATGGCGGCGCGGGCCGGGTTCCAGGCGGGGCCCGCGAGCGGCGGCGGCGGCGGCGCCGCTCCGGGGGCCGCGCTGGGCCCGGGCGCGCCGGGCGGGGCGGTTCGCATGGGCCCGGCGCCGGGGCAGGGCCTGTACCGCTCGCCGCTGCCCGGAGCCGCCTACCCGGTGAGGCGGGGCGGCGCGGGGCGGGGCGCGGGGCCGGGCGCGGCGGGCGCTGACCGGGTGTGTTCTCTCCGCAGCGCCCCGGGATGTTACCGGGAGGCCGCCTGGCGCCGCAGGGCCCGGCCATGGGCCCGCCCGGCTACGGCGGGAGCCCCGCGGTGCGGCCCGCGCTGGCGCAGGCCGGGCTGGACCAGGCCCGCAAGCGGCCGGCGCCGCAGCAGCTCCAGCAGGTGCAGCCGCAGGCGGTGCCCAACC